TCCACCCTTCTACCCCACCTCCTCCTCCTGCTTACCAGTCCTTATCTGTGCTGCCACTGCCGCCCACTCGTTCTCATTCGCAACATGGGAGGTATGACCACGTTTGCAGAAACTGAAAGTGCCGTAGCGGCTTTAGGTAAACACATCGATTTCTACTTCATTACTTCAAGGGTGAGCAAGATGGCACTCCTGTGTGTCAGTTTTCTGAAGGATTTTATGCAGCATACTGAACTTCATTTTTTAACACTCAGTCACATTGTAAACCACGAAGATTCACTCAGGATATCACCTCAGGCTTTTAAAAGTCACGAGCAGTAAAATTTACATTTTGTCATGATCCTCAATAGATATTTTTCCAAATCAAGCTGAACTTAATGCTCATGCCCACTCACAAACTGACTGCCGCAGTTGCCTAAAACCACTGTTTCCATTCACTGCACTCTGCTGACATACAGCTGACAAGTTTATGAGTGAAAGGTGAACTTTAAATCATAGCTTGTCAAACAGAAGGTATGTTTTGTTTTGTTTTGTTTGTTTTTTCTGTCTTGCTTGTTTGTCTCATAGTTAGCACGCAATCTGACTTATGTCATACTATATGACAAATAAGACAAAAGTACAGTGACGTGCAAAAATCTTGAGCCAATACTGGTTTCTTTAGCAATAGCATTATGCAAACTCTGTTTCTTGCACTTTGTACTTCAATAAATTGCTCCACCTATTTCCCATTTTCCTAACAAACTATAAAGACATGCGAAGTGGATTAAAGCTTCTACACAGGGTTTTTGTTTTAGTTTCTTTGTTACTGTACTCTGTAAAACTGTAATTAGATCTGGGCAAAATTTGATTTTGTAGCTTCCCACTGATCACAATAGGGATCAGTGTTTGCATATTTATCATTAAAAAGCCATTTAGAAATAAAAATAAATAGAATAAGAGTAATTTGGGAGTGATTTAATGCTCATATTTCAGCATGTAATAGTTACAGATGAGTGCAAATCTAACTTTTGTCCTGTCTCCCACCCCTCACCACCAACCAGTCGCAACAGATGACTGCCTCTCTCTGAGCCTGTTCAAACTGAGTTTTTCTTTACCGCTTTCGCCAAGTGCTTGCTTATACGGGTCAGGGTTTTCTGTTATTATATATTATTATTATATACATTTTGTCATTACAACATAAAGTGCCTTGATGCATCTGTTGTTGGGATTCGGCCCTACATAAATAAAACTGAATTCAATTGAATAAAACTGATCAATAAATGCAGGCACTAATTCAGCCAGGGTTATGGACGAGCAGATAAACTGATGTATACCTGGCAAAACAAAACAATGAACGCAATGCTCTCATGCCAAATAGGCTCAAGTCAAACTAATCAAATGCTATGCAGTGAATCAAGCAACACTTCTGTCTGGACACTGAATACATGCTAAAATGTAAGCAGGAGGCTCACATGTTGCGTAGGCACGCTGAGTTGATAATATTATGCAGTTGTCTGGTGAGTCATTCACTTCGGCTTGGAAACAGACGTACACAAAAACGCCTGCGACAGAGAGACATTGACGTTAATCCAACTGAGCAAATATCCCTCCAAGTTCTCAATAAACATTTACCCCAAAATCACGAGCAGTGTCACTTGTCATCTCTAACTCCGCTCACGCCCGCCCCCCCCTCTTGTTCACTCTCTCCTGGGTTAGTTGCTACAGGGGGACATGGTGAGAACAGTGGGCCGTAGCGTTTCCCAGCCACAGCCCGAAAAGATTGCTGCAGAGCAAGGAGCCCACCTCTCGCCTCAGCACAACCGCACCACCCCCCACCTCCCCTTCCCCGGCCCCCAGTGATGTGGGAAAAGCCGGGGAGGGTGTCCCACTGAGTGTGCTCAGGCAGACGTCCCGGGCTTAAAACCTATCACTGGAGCCCTCTCAGCTGCAGCATCAAGCAGGCCAGGCTGTGCTCGTTACAGAAGGCTCACTTCATGATTGTTTTCTTTACCATGTTGTTTCACCGTGGCTCAGACCAAACACAAACTGCCACACAAGTTGCAGTGGGAATGAGTAAGGCTGCATTGCATCAGTGACTCGTGATTTTGTGTTACTACTTAAAAAGCTCTCCATACACTCTGCATCTGTTTGGCTTCAGAGTTGTTTTCCCGGGCCGGACCTGCAGTTTTTGAAACCCATATCGTTTCTTGCCTTCTTACCGCTTTTGTAACAAGCCACTGCTATAATCATTACTGTTAACAACCGCTTCAAGAGTAATGACTCTTCTCCAGCTGCGTGGCTAACATTTGAAAGTTACACAACCTCCATGGCAAGCGTGAGGGACTGCATGGTGGCTCGGTGAGTAATCTCGGGCTTGTTCCCTTGTAATGCTGACAAAGAGCAGGAGCGCCTGTGCAGTGTCAAATGCTATAACAAGCCAAACACACGCAAATGCTCACACAATGACGGATAAATCGACTTTGCATCAGCAGAGAGGATAAGAACGCCAAAACATGAGGAAAGAGAAAAAGAGATCATTGACCTTCATCTAGGCTTTGAAAGCATTATAATTTTAAGGCTTTTGCATGTTTTCACAAGAAATTCTTGCCATAGGAATGGGAATATTTTTCCACAGCTTGCACCTTCTGTGTCACAATGTGTTTATGAGAGTAGATCAAATCAAGAAGGGGAAAGGGCTTTTATTATTATTATTATTTGTGCAGATAATTAGGAATCAGACGTCATGATTGCTATATGTTCACATACAGACCCCCTCTCTCAGCTGAGAGAGGGGCACTGATTCACAGTCCATATGTGAGGGAGCAAATCCTTGTATGGGAAACTCTGTGACCTGAGGCGTGGCTTTCCCCTCCACGCCATGTGAAAAACTCCCCCTCCACACTCTCCACAGCTTTATGCTATCTTTGACTTTCATTGTCTCAGTGAAAGAGTGACCAGTTGGCACCAGATCGCCAAGTGTCTGCTTTACATTAGTTCTGAGTCACAAGGAGAGTCATGCTTGCGCTGTCAAAGAGAAGGATTCTTGGGAAAACAGTTTATTTACTCAGGTTTCTTGGATTTTTCGAGATACATGCAATGTCATAGCCTTGGGGGAAGCAGCGTAAGCAAGGATTGCCCCTTGTATCTGTGTGTGATTGCGAGTTGGGGCGTGGGGATTGGTTTGTGGTTATCTGAACAAGAGCTTTTTGGCACATTGTCATATGACTCTCACACACTGTGAGAAAGGGGAGGATGTGAGCACACCACCAGTATTATTGTTAAAAAAATAAGACTATTTTTGCAGACTTGCAGTAAACACATGATTATATAGCAACCACAGAGAGTTTTTTAGCATGTCCATGTATATACAGGCAAGATGTTGCTGACTGTGGGTTTCAAGGGTATTTGTAGTTCATTAAAAATGACTAATGTTCTTTGGTTACAGTTAAAGGAGAAATAGTCACGTATATTTATAACTGATGTCACTTACTGTACACCTGAAAACAAGGGAGTTAGTCATTGTTTTCCTTATATTTGTTTAGACTTTAATGTTGAAATTACGTTTCATTTTAAACTTTCACACATATTTTAAACTGTCACCATGACCCTGATAAAGACAAGGGGAAGAGAATGGATGGATGATTTTGCAGGTATTTGCTGACTTTTGGCGACACAACTAAAAATAAAGCTTGGAAGTTGAGAGGAGAATCATGGGACTTTGTCTACTCCTAAAAGTTCTCCTAAAACGTCTTCTAAAGCGGATAATCGACATGATGCATTTACTCCAACTGAGTTATAGAGATTTTATAATTGTTTTACTGGAACACGATCAGACAGTCTGCTTTGGCAAGATAGAAATAATTTAGCTTAGACATTATCGGCCCGGGAAAGTTGCTTTTTTCGGTTCAGCGAAGATCCAAGTTGCTAAATGTCTCTATTATTATAATTACATAAAGCATCGCAGACCAAACATCTACAGTAATGGCTCTCCGAGACTACTTGGCACAGTGGTGTTTTGAGCATGCTTTGTAGAACATGGTTACAGTAGCAATGCAAACAAAGAGGGTGGGGGTTTTTTGTTGTCGTTGTTTTTACCATATTCACAATCTTAGTTTAGCATGTTAGCATGCTAAAATTGCTAACTGCCATAAATTACAAAGTATAGCTGAGATTGATGCTATATAACATCAGGAAGGAATTTAGTGGGATCTTTAATGTTCTCATTAACTTCATTTTCTTTTAAATTCATTAACTAGGACCTGGCGTCCACATATGTGGACGTCACATTTTGGGTTGTCTAGACCAAAATACTAAATTTTGCTCTGCAAGGGCCTGATATCCACTTATGAGGAAATTATATATTGTTCTATCGAAATTTAAAACGAATATCCGGATACGTGGTTTTCATTTTCTCAGAAAAAAAAAATCAGGTTAAAAAAAAAAGATAATTCTTTGTTTTTAAATTCATCAGGTCCCAATCAGCCCAAATAGCAAAGAGAAATTAAAAATGCATGCCATGAAAGAGGTCGGGTCTTAGGAGGCTAATATATTTTCTGTTGACCAAATTATAGCTGACTGTATCAACATAATGCTGTGATGATCCATATACATACCTGATTAGGAGTCCTCTTCCTATGTAATAGTTACTTGTAGCTTTTTAGTGCTTGCACTCTTCCTCTGTTTAGTGCTGTTATAACACTGATACTTAAAAAAAAAACATATATTTAACTGTTATCAGAGCACAGATATTTGACACATGTTGTATATACTTGCTTTCACACAATTCTTGGGTGTTTCTGTCCTTTCACACAAAGCTCTAAACTCTCAAGAGCCAAAGGTTAAACAGTGTGCTTCAGTCATTTTTGTAGATGCATAAGGGTGTATGCTAAAATCGATCAGTTCTCTAGTTATTTTAACTTTTTTTTTGCTTTTCAGGCTGCTCAGTAAATAATATATTTGGATCATAATGCTATTATTCCCTCATTGTCATTCTTGCTTAATGCCAATCTAATTTATCTTTTCAGAAAAATCATATGCTGGGCTCATCCACACGAGACAGTTTCTCAGACCCGTTGTCCAGAAGGTAAGCCAAAACAGAGCCTGAGACATCTCATGAAACACGTCATATGCCAGTTCTCACTACAAACTGCAGATCAGCAGGTGCTGTGAAACTTGGTTTCTCCTTTATTCTTTACATATCACTTTGGTGTATTTACACTGACCATGTTTTTAAAGACAACCTCAAAATATCTCATTTAAACAGAAATGCTTTCACTGATTATTTACAGCTTACCATCAAATGAGCAGCTGAGTGCTAAACCAATAATTGCTTCTAATCAGCTGTCAATCCCCTTTACCTCCTTTAAAAGGAAGCTACGAAAAAAAAAGCTGGATAAAGAATAGATAAAAGACCCTCATGAAAACCATCAATTAGGAAGTAAATACATTTGTAAAAATCCACTAAACACTGATGTTATCAAACCTTTTCAACAGGAAATAAAGCACAAGAAATGCTACATTGGAGCATGGTGACTATGTATTGCTTGGCAACCTTTAAGAAATGGTTCAATTTTTGGTTCAGATTCTGCCTTCCCCTCGGTAAAGGGACCTCCGAGATGGAAAAGATTCTATTTGTGCAAATCATGTGTGCAAAGCCCAAATAAAGCATGAAAATTACACATCTTCACTTGATCAACCTGCTTTGTTTTTTGAAATGCAAAGGGAGGTTTCTGTGGGAATTGGTTTAAATTGAATTCAAAGTGTACACCTTTCCTTTCACGCTTCCTCAGCTTACCCTTAGCCATTTTTTCTTTTTTAATCCATTCTTCCGCCATCATCAGCCTCTCTTTCTTTCGGCATTCATCTGTGAAATGCCTGGCATGGGCAAAGGTAATTGGAAGTGACTTTTTTGTCATTCAAACTAAGGAGAGATTGACAGCAATATAAAGGCTCTGTTAAAAAAAATCATTGGTAATTGGTATGATTATACACTTCTGTAGAGCAAGAAGTCAGCAGAGATATGAATTCTCCTTTTCCACAATGCTTACTACTTTTGATTGGCATTTTCTTGTCTCCAAATGCTTTGCATTGCAGAATTATACATACGTTTATTAAGTCTCATGTAAACTTTCAAACCTCCACACTTAATCACCTGTAGTTTCATTTTAACACAGACATGTAACTCAATGTAACATGTTCCGAAGTATAAACCCAGTGTTATGTGTTGCAGGCAGGATATTTAAATGCTGTAACAGTCATATAAAGAGGCTATGAAATTAAGAAATTATGATTAAAAAATGTAATCTTTATGGAAACGATTACAAAAATACCAACAAAAGTTGCACACTTCAGATTTATTAGCTCAGTCTGACCCAGGATTACATTCAAAGACCAAGTAACTACTGCGTTGTAAATCAAGCTGTGCCCAGCAGGAGCAGGATCACAAAGTCAATAGCCTTCAGGGTCAAGGGTCATTGGGAGGAAGCTCAAAATCAGGCAGCTGCTAGTTATATCTTTATCTACACTAAATGACACAGTTGTTATACTAACAGTTGTTTACAATGTAATTTCAGACAATACCAAAAAGTAAATATAATGGCATTCAAGCATGTTTGAATCATCTTTCAATCTCAGTACTGTGTATTTCATCAAAGGTAACATATTTACCTGTTTAAAATGCTTAGATTTGTAGCTGGGCTGGCCTTTACAGTTTGCTCCAGCTGCTCCAAAAAACTGTCTGCAAGAACTCCTAAATTTCACTTGACCAGCCTTATAACTTCCAAGTTATTTCTCCCATGGTTGTATAGCCAAGGGGGCCAAAGCCTATTAAGTAGTTTGCTGGCAGAAATAACACAGGCAGCCTTACTAATGGGGAGGTATTGCTAAGAACTGAAGGAACTGCTGCTTACACTGTGTGTTTCTCTTTGGATACAGTGAATCACTATGGTTATTTCTGAATATCTGTGGAAAGTACCTGCTATAATAAGCAGGGTTTTCTGGAGTTTGTTGACTTGCAGTCAAAAGTGATACAATAGAAGCAACAGCAATGACCACACAGGAGGGCAGAGCTGTGACTCAAAGATAGAAAGTAAGAAGCAGTAGCAAAACACATAAAACTTGCGGTAGGAAGCTGAACTTTAGTACTAATCATGAAAAAGACAGGATGCTGTGCTGAGGACAGCAGTTGCAAGGATGTTCAACATGTGTTCGAGTGTGTACATTTTGAAAATGTTACCAATTTATACAATGTTTGCTCTCACTCAATTCATTGAGATCTATTTCATGAACAGAATAATGATGTATCATTGCTATCTATCAAATAACAGCATAAAATTGTCTTTGTAAAGATAGTAAAATACTATACTGGTATAATTAAATAAACTTGACCAAGAAGTATCTTTAATGTTTGCCAAAAACATAAAATTTCCTCTATGTTAACAAATAAGAATGCAGATGACTGAGAAGAGTGCGTATGTGTATGTGTCTGTGTATATATGTCCATGTGTGTGCACCCCAGACAGCAGGGAGAAAGAAAAGCGGCCTTTTTACTAACGTTGATTGGAAACAGATGTTGGCGAAAACCAAGACAGCAAAGAAAATGTTTCGGAAAATTCTCAGGGCTCAGCCTTCCCTTTCTGGGCCCTGGCCCAGGCAACCAATCATTGCAGAGCACCCTCTGGTCTTTGGGGTGAACTAAGCACTTCTATTGGATGAAGACGTGAACGTGGGCGTTGGGAGCAGATGTCCTGGGAAAGTTGCTGAATCCCACTCAACTCACAGTAAAAGAAAGCGAAAACATTTGCTTGGTTAACTGGACAGTGACCAAAGCATGTTTTAATCCAGATGAACTCTCAGTGCATGTACAAGCTGACAGTGAATACATTAGCACTGTGTTACAGATTTATACATTTGAAATATATTGCTTTTCAAGTTGTTATTCATTCAACTGCCTCACAAAAAGAAACTTTAGAAGAATAGTCTGTAAGAAAAATGTCTTTAGGACCTCTAATTCTTTTCTGTCATCTAGTCGGCTCAAATGAATGCGAATGAGAGTTTCCTCGCACTATCATCTCCCCATCCCTTCACACTTCTAAACCTTCAACTGCTCCTTTGCTCCTTTTCACCTCCTAACCTTCACCCTCCTGCATTCAACTTTTTCTATTCCATCTCTCATCTCTGTGTTCGTCTCTGCCCCCAGCCCCCTCTCACTCCATCTTCAGCACCCAGATTCAGTCACAGTCTAGTTCACATATGGCCTCACCTGCACACAAAGCTCCATCTCACTCTTTTATTGTGTCAGTCTATTGCCTATTCACAGCAACGGCACAGCACAAATCAATCATCTTTCCTAATGGAAAGTCCACATTAACATGAGAAGACACTCAATTTCCGTCTCAGAATGCCAGGTCGACTGGTACCTGAGCTCCGGTCGATGAAGATCCAGGGCCCTGCAGGCACTCTCATTTCGGGTGGGATAGCGAGGTGATGCCGTCAGGTCCAGGGGTGGCACCGGGAGTCAATGGTGTATTAACTGAGGATGTGACAATGGCAATAAAAATGCAAATTGCCATCCAAAGCAGGGGATGGCCTGGATCTGCCCTTCATAAGCCTGCATAATACAGTCAGCACACACCTGCTAAGACATGCGGTTCAACACGTCTCAAACATAACAATACAGTGAGTGAGAGGAAGGGAGCGTGTGCGTCTATCCTCGAGACCATAACACCGGTAACTAAAAGAGTTTTCTTATCACTGTCACTTCTCATTGATTTGTCTAGAAGTCCCCATTATGTACAATTTGTATTGGGTAAGAAAAAAAAAAAGTTAATATGCTATTGAACAGCACTGGTCTCTACAAACCTTTTACCATTCTTCAAGTTATTTTTTGTTCTCATGAAAACGACTTCAACATGGTTTAACACCTATTTGACATTTTGAAACCAACATGCTAGACAGCACTCGCCACAATCAAAATAACACCAAAAGAGGAAATGTTTTTTAAAAGACTGATGGGTGATATTTCTAGTAGCTCCAGAGACTTGGGCAGTTCATACCAGGGTGCAGTGAAGCTATTCTGGTGTTATTAGAAAATCTGTTGTATCCTCATTGTTGTTAACTTTGGGCAAATTAATCCATTATGTTTTGTCTGATATATTCCATACTAAGGTTAAAGGCCAAGTGTGTAGGATTCAGCATGATTTACTAGCAAAAACTGTATCTCTGAGTCCAGTTCATTACACACACCCTCAATCATGGGAAGACTCTGATCTGACAGTTGTCCAGATGATAGTTATCAACAGCCTCCACAAGAAGGTTAAGCCATAAAAATGATAGCTGAAAAGGCTGGCTGTTGGTAGAGTGCTGTACTGAAGTATATTAATGGAAAGTTTAGTGGACAGGAAAGTGTGGTAGCAAAAGGTACACATTGTCTCAAAAAGTTATTTCAAAAACTTGGGAGAGCTTCACAAAGAGTGCACTAAGCTGGTTTGAGTACATCAAGGCTACTCTTGCATTCCTAATGTTAAGCCACTCCTCAACCAAAGCCACGAGAAGTGTCTCTTTCCACATAAAGATAAAGTTTGCATTTCATCATTTGGAAATCAAGGCCATACAGTCTAGAAGAGGAGAGGAAAGTCACAGAATCTAAGGTGTTTGAAGTCCAGTGTGAAGTTTCTGCATTCTGTGGTGAATTGCATTGCAATGACCTGTGGTGTCAGTTTGCAGTGTTTTATCATGTCCAAAGTCAACATTGTCATCTACAAGTAGATTTTAGATTAACTCGTGCTTCCATCTGCTGACAAGCTTTACGGAGATGCAGATTTCCTTTTTTAGCATTGTTTTGTTAACCATGTTATTACTGTGTTTGACCCAACTAACCTGGCCTGAACTGTCAAGAGGAAGATGAAAGCCACTATGAAAGCAACTTCAGTAACACCTTAGCAGTAACACCTCCATAACACACCACACTGATGCAGTAATTTGTTGTAAAGGAGCATCAATAAATCAATGCATAAATCAACACACCTTTTCACAAGGTAAACATTTCTGTATAAAACTTTGTTGCTTGATCTTGGAAAATATTTGAGATATATGTATTAAAAAGAAACAATATCTTGAAGTGTAATTAAAAATCACCTTCAGTTTTCCATGATAGTCTATTTTAGTAGTCAGTAGTCTCTATGAAATGGCAAACCTCCATAATCATTTAGCAGGGTCTTTTTTAGACAATGGTTTTAAGTCTGTTTATGTTAGTGCCTGCATGCTATAGTAACACAAGACAACTTTGAAGGGCAATAGGACATGAATTTGTCCTCTGATAACAGTTTTTTTTTCTTCTTTTGGGCCATAAGGACCCACAGGGACACATTGGTTGTATTTCAAAGCTGCGTAATGGAACCACTGAGCTGTTGTCTCGTGCGTCACAGGGATTCTGTTTCAACGAAGAGGATATAATGTTGGGCAGTGAAGATAGATGTAGTTATGTTCTATCCACAGCAGAATTTTAGGTCATTAACATTAAAGATTGAGCTACAGAAGAAATTAAAAGTTGGAAAAGATTTTGGAGTTCAGTTTACAATAACAATCAGTTTAAGGCACTTTATATTTTGAGATAAAGACCCTTCAATAATATGTTGAGTGGCATATTATATATTCCATATTATATGACATATAATAACATGTAGACACACGCTTTGCCTTCCAGTGTTGGATTTATGGTTGTTCCTGTTCTACTGCTTTCTTCACAGTTCATTTAGATGTTCTAACTGTGTATTCATGTAGTCTAATACGAAAAACTGATAGAGTACAAATACTATAGCGTCACCACAACTTGTTCTAGTTCCATTCACAAACTCTGAGGAGTTTGACTAATTAAATGAGCCAAAGGGTGATTTACTTAATCTATTAAAAATTACTATGTTACTTAGGGACCAGACAACATTGCAACATCTGTCACATGCTTGTTATTTAGGATTTGTTTAAATTGATTCTGTAATCTGGCGCAGCAACTATTCTGCCTGTAATTACATTTAGATGCTATGCTGCTCCTTGATCCAAGGCAAAGGGCACATTGTGTGTATGTATTTAAATTTCCATGTATAAGTGTCACATATGTCTCTGCAACTAATCCTAAAATATTTTAGAAAATACTGAATATGGCTATTGATGAGTAAGTAAGCCCTTTAACTGTCTAATCTCTCACTGTTTTTTTGTGTGTGTGTGTGTGTGTGTGTGTGTGTGTGTGTGTGTGTGTGTGTGTGTGTGTGTGTGTGTGTGTCTTGCATTTAAATGTGTACTACTTTAAATCAAAAACAAATCTTGTAATTTAACCAGTTGGCATGTTACAGATTTTAGATAATACATACATTGCATTTGCATATATTGCAGTCATTATTATTCATACATTTGTAAATGTAATGATGAAGCAATAGCCTTCGTCTGAACACAAAATGGCTCGACAGTTAATTGCAAGTTACTTTAGAACCTCAAAAAATGGAGAAATGATCTAATATCCTTCCGAGACTGACAGGTGTTACACTTCTCACTTTGAAGACAGGTCGCCTCTTCCTTTTCTGTCTCAGTTTTCTGTTTCTCACCTTGAGACACTGCTTAAATCAGTGGAAGGTTTCTTTGAATAAGGCACAAAAGGGGAAAAAGAAGAGTACTGTGTCTGCGTGAGCCAGCTTTGTGTCTCTGGATGAGGAAGAGGTGGGTATGAATAGTATCATAATGATTTGGATTTCGTTCCAGGTCTCTTGGAACATGCACTGTCTGGTGAAGTATTTTAAAAAGCTGCCTCGTGAATGTGTCTGCTTTGGATCATCAGCTCAGTCAGAGAGAGGGAGGTGGAAGAAGAGAAGACCCACCTGCGTAACCTCAGCTTGTCCTCTGCCAAGAACACAAAACACTGATCCAAGAGAAGAATATGGGTCTAATTTTGTCAGAAGACAGCTCTATCATATCATGAATCTTATCACTTTACATATTTTTTTTTTACATGGCAGTCTATTGTAAGGAGTACAACTGTCAATATAAAATATACTTGTCTAAATAAATACATTTAAACTCCCTGAAATAATAAAAATAACATATCAAATTAAAAAAAAATACAAAAATATGTTTAATGATTATTTTTGTAACTTTAGCTTGTTATAGTGGAGCCAAACAGCTGTGGGCAGCAGGCAACAGCTTTGCATGTTTTTTATCTAGAGTGGAATTTATTAGAAGGGTTGAATGAGCCTCCGTGTGTTGGTTTCATTTTTATGTCACCTCATCAGTGTGCACGAAGCACAATTGTTAAAACTCAGACACACTATGGACGGAATGTATTTCAAAGGGAAACGATACGCCTCCTTTGAAGCACCACAGCAATATGTACAAAGGATGAATGTGTTTGACAAATTTGTACCACTATGACCTTGAGGTTATTACAGAATCAGGTCTTTACTCAAACAATTTTTCGGCGCATCTTTTTTGTTTGTCTTCATTAGTAAATCAAAACTATACGTTAATAAACACATCAGGCATATGCTTTTTGGAGACTTTATTCGATACCCCCATTTGCCTTCAGAACTGGCTGAACTCTTCATGGCATAGATTCAACATAGTGCTGGAGACATCCCTCAGAGACTTTGGTCCATATTGATATGATAGCATCACACAGCTGTGGATTTGTTGGCTGCACATCCATGATGTGCATCCCTTGTTCTACTACATCCCAGAGGTGCTCTACTGGATTGATTGGATGATTGTGTTGGCCATTTGAATGCAGTGAACTCACTGTCATCTTAAAAGAAAGCAGTTTGAGATTATTTAAGCTTTGTGAGATACCATGAAGCAGCCAGCAGAAAATGAGCAAAATGTGGTCATAAAGGGATAGATATGCTCAGCAGCAACACTCAGGTAGGTTGAGGTGTTTAAATAATGCTCAGCTGGTGCCTAAAGTGTGCCAGGAAAATATCCCCCATACCATTACACTGCCAGCACCCTGAACATTTGAGGTGAGATTGATCCACATTATTATGCTGTTAATGCCAAGTTGTGATGCTACCATAGAAATGTCGCAGCAGGAATAAATTCATCAGAACAGCCGACGATTTCCAGTCTTCCACTGTGTGCTATTTTATTGAGCTTATGTGAGTTGTAACCTTAGTTTCTTGTTCTTATTTGACACAAGTGGCACCCAGTGTGGTCTTCTGCTGCTCTAGCTCATATGCTTCAAGTTACAGTATATTATGCATTGAAAGATATTCTTCTGCATGCCTTGGTTATAAACAGTGGTTATTTGATGCTTTCTGAACAATTTGAAGGATTCATTTTCACCGTTCTGTAGAAAAACCCTGAGATGGTGGTGCAGGGAAAACCCCAGCAGATCAGCATTTTCTGAAAACTTAGACCAGTCCGCCTGTTACATGTTTCATTCAAAGTCACTTAAATCACCTTTCTTCTCCATTCTGATGCTCAGTTGGAACTTCAGCAGGTCAACTTGACCATTTCTACACGCCTAAATACACTGAGTTGCTGCAATGTGATTGGTTAATTAGATGTTCACTTTAACAAGCAGTTCAATAATTGTACCTGATAAAGTGTGTGGGGTATGTACTTTGACATGATTAATAGTTTCTCTTAATTTCACTTCATATTTTACAAAGTGATCTGCAGATGAGTGAAAACTCTAAACTAGGGCTGTTATTTTACTGCCCAGTTATTGTGCAGTATTATCACAGTGACAATAGCACAATATCTGGAAATGCAAACAGCAATATTAATAACACTATGATTCAATTTCATCATTTAGTTGTTGTTTGCTGTTCAAGAACAGTATTGAAGCCAAAGTATGAATATAGGGAGCTGTAAAGAGACTCTGCAAATCAAAGCACGTTACTTATATACATACAATATTTCCATATATTTTATTTTCAATAATGGCATGTAATCCCTACATTTCCCATCCATACTCTCATTGAACTGTGACCAAAATCTATATTTAAACTATATAGAAAAGTGAAGGAAATCACTAGGTAGGCAGATGGTTAACCTTTCATGTGAACTTTCACAATAAAAACACCACACGCAGTGATAAAATCTTTCTTCACATATATTTTATAACATTTTGAAGTACATTAAGTACATTTTGGAAATAGAAGCTACAGTTTATAAAACCTTTCCAGCAGAAATCATTGATGGGCCAGCATCAGCCTTTTTACCTCTAGCAGACAGGTCTATTTTCTATATAAAAAATGAATTCAAAAACAAAAACAAAAAGAAATTAGCTACATTATTTTGTCCTGCGCTACCTTTAAATTCCCATGAAAGCACCAGCTGTCTGCATCTCGTCTTTTATAAAATATAAATTATTGAAAAATATTCAAATGCTTGTGAACTAAATACAATAAAAATGATCTCATAACAAAAATACAAAGACACTATAAAATATACAAAAAAACAACATCCAAAATAACAAGTTTTCCTTCTGAATCCATTCCGAGATATGCATATGCCACAAAATATTGTTAGGTGTACACTTGCCTGACTAGGTTTCATTAATACATAAGACCTGCAGTAGACTGTAGACTCTGACATTTAACAACAGTATAATTTCCTGACAAAGTAAATGTCAAAATATTAACATTTTAGGTAACAGAAATGTTTTCTCCGAGCACATTGATCTTATGAAGCCAACCATACTAACATTATGACGTTTGTGTTGGGAGGAAAAAAGAAAACATTTTTTTAATACAAACAGATAAAAAATAAGTCTTTTAAGCTCACTTTAATACAGAACACTGACATCAGAAAAATACCTGAACAATACCAAAGAAAAAAGAAAAAAAAGAGAGAAAGAAGATTTTCAAAACACTGGTGTGAACATATGCAATAAAGGAATGAACATACAGTGCAGCTTATTCCTGAACCAACTGTTTAACTTCCAATTCTTTATCTTGGATAAGGAAACACTAAGCCAGTGCTGAATAACAATGGACAAGCTTGTTACCAGTTACACAGTATGAACGTATACATCATCTCTTACCTAAACTCAGCCGGTATCCAAAATCAAAAATGAAAAAAAAAAAAACATCAGCAAAGACGTTACTCTTTGTCCTTAAGCTGTGTGCTTTCTGACATATTAACAAAAGATAAAAGACGACATTTCACGAATACGTGAGAGGTTTCTGGTCCCCATCTCCTAACGTTGTGGGTGCACCGTGGCCGAAGACCTCACATGGGCTTTGGTTATTATTCCTGCTTTGTCTTTTGCTTATTTGTGTAATCTGGGTCTCAGTAAAGCATTATGAAACAGAATCTGTACAAATAGACATCTCAGAAGCTATTTTCATCCATATGGGTAACTTTCAGCTACTGTAAACAATAACATTGTATTCTAATATAATACTCAACTTTGGCATTTCCCATAAGGCTAGTGTACAGCCACTGTTCCCACTGTTTGGGAGGAAACTGTTGCCAATTTGCTTGTAACCAGTCATTCATTTCTGAACTGAATGTAGATAAGTTGCAAAAGAATGTAAAATTCAAATGGAAGCTTCTGCCATCCGTCCTATATTTCTCAAGCAAGTTAACTTGCATCACTTGTATCAACCTGTCTTCATCAGACATCACGAGAGAGCACCTACATTATCCACATCACCCATCACTCATCTATCCTCTAAAGTTTCAGATTCTCTATAGTCAACATTTATAGTCAGTTTTCCTATTACCTGACCTGCTTTCCTACACTTTACCTTCACACTATACTACCCTTCCTTATGGCCAAAACGTACAACACATTTGAAAGAGAATTATGCAAGATAACATGAGCAAACCAACTTGCAATTTTACTCTCTAGGCAATTAATATGAAAACGTGTCTAAAAGTAAGCTTACATGGGCAGTGAAATGAAATTATGCATTTAATCTGCACATGAAACAGCTCCTCTTACTCCTGAATTTCCCCATATAAGATTGTCTACAGTTTGCTAATACTGGTGGTATATGCAAAAAAAAAAAAAAAAAATGCACGACTTTCAGTCACAATATGCGTCTAACGAGGTGGCAAACATGTACATAAAGGTGAACGTGTCAGTTTCAAAAGCAACGGCTACTTTCAGTTGTCTTTCAGACACTCTTGCTATGAGTAACCTCACCAGGTCTTCACACTCTACAAAGCAAGGGGCCAGTGTCTATAGTGTTGTCTGATAACGCATCAGCACATTTCAGTTGAAAGTTCCT